GTCAACCCCGGGCACTTTACGACCTGCGGATTAAAAATATGAACCCTCCTTTTTTGAGACAATCAATTTAGATGGCTTTCACAGGTGTAGAGTGAGAGGGGGGAGGGAGGGGTAGGTGAGAGGGGAAGGGTAGGTGAGGGAGAAGGTAGGTGAGACAGGAAGGTGTAGAGTGAGAGGGGAGGGGTAGGTGAGAGGGGAGGGTAGGTGGAGAGGGGAAGGGTAGGTAGAGAGGGAAGGTAGGTGAGGACAGGGGAAGGCAGAGTAAGAGGGGGAGGGAGGGGTAGGTGAGAGGGGAAGGTAGGTAAGAGGGGAAGGGTAGGGGTGAGAGGGGAGAAGGGTAGGTGAGACAGGAGAAGGTGTAGAGGAGAGGGGAGGGGTAGGTGAGAGGAAGGGTAGGTAAGAGGGGAAGGGTAAGTGAGAGGGAGAAGGGTAGGTAAGAGGGAGAAGGGGTAGGTGAGAGGGAGAAGGGTAGGTAAGAGGGGGAAGGGTAAGTGAGAGGGAGAAGGGGTGGTGAGACAGGAGAAGGTGTAGAGTGAGAGGGGAGGGAGGGGTAGGTGAGGGGAAGGGAGGAGGGGAAGGTAGGTGAGAGGGAGAAGGGTAGGTAAGAGGAGAAGGGTAGGGTGAGAGGGAGAAGGGTAGGTGAGGACAGGAGAAGGTGTTGGTGTGAGAGAGGGAGGGGTTGTGAGAGGAAGGTAGGTGTGAGACAGGAGAAGGTTGGTGTAAGAGGAGGAGGGGTGGTGGGAGAGGGGTAGGGAGGGGAGGGGAGGTGAAAGTGAGATATGTAGGTGAGGAGTGAATAGTGTTGGGGAGGGAGATGATGGGTAGTGTTGGAGAGGGAGATGATGGGTAGTGTTGGAGAGGGAGATGATGGGTAGTGTTGGAGAGGGAGATGATGGGTAGTGTTGGAGAGGGAGATGATGGGTAGTGTTGGAGAGGAGATGATGGGTAGTGTTGAGAGGGAGATGATGGGTAGTGTTGGAGAGGGAGATGATGGGTAGTGTTGGGGAGGAGATGATGGGTAGTGTTGGGAGGGAGATGATGGGTAGTGTTGGAGAGGGGGATGATGGGTAGTGTTGGAGAGGGAAGATGATGGTAGTGTTGGAGGGAGATGATGGGTAGTGTTGGAGGGAGATGATGGGTAGTGTTTGGAAGGGAGATGATGGGTAGTGTTGGAGGAGATGATGGGTAGTGTTGGAGGAGATGATGGGTAGTGTTGGAGGAGATGATGGGTAGTGTTGGAGGAGGAGATGATGGGTAGTGTTGGAGAGGGAGATGTGGGTAGTGTTGGAGAGGGAGATGATGGGTAGTGTTGGGAGGGAGATGATGGGTAGTGTTGGAGAGGGGATGATGGGTAGTGTTGGAGAGGAAGATGATGGGTAGTGTTGGAGAGGAGATGATGGGTAGTGTTGGAGATGATGGGTAGTGTTGGAGAGGGAGATGATGGGTGGTAGTGTTGGAGGGAGATGATGGGTAGTGTTGGAGAGGAGATGGGTAGTGTTGGAGAGGAGATGATGGGTAGTGTTGGAGAGGGAGATGATGGGTAGTGTTGGGGAGGGAGATGATGGGTAGTGTTGGAGAGGGGATGATGGGTGGTGTTGGAGAGGAAGATGATGGGTAGTGTTGGAGAGAGAGAGGGAGATGATGGGTAGTGTTGGAGAGGGAGATGATGGTAGTGTTGGAGAGGAGATGATGGGTAGTGTTGGAGAGGAAGATGATGGAGTAGTGTTGTGAGAGATGATGGGTAGTGTTAGGGAGGGAGATGATGGGTAGGGTTGGAGAGGGAGATGATGGGTAGTGTTGGAGAGGGGGATGATGGGTAGTGTTGGAGAGGGAGATGATGGGTAGTGTTGGAGAGGAAGATGATGGGTGTGGTGTTGGAGGAGATGATGGGTAGTGTTGGGGAGGAAGATGAGTAGGTTAAGGGAGATATGGGTAGTGTTGGAGGGTTGATATATGAACATGGAAGAGATATGACAATGCAGTCTATAAGTCTTGTTTTATATATCAGCATATAAGGTATGGTGATTTCAGTAGAGATGTTTGTCCACAAGTTGACTATTTGGTCCCGTATTACATATTGCTTTCAGCAGGCAAGCATTCTATTCCTAACACCTACCACCCTTAACACCACCACCCTCATACCATGTTTAGGCTCTTGCGCAGATGGTGCGCAGGATGACGAGGTGTGTGTGTGTGTGTGTGTGTGTGTGTGTGTGTGTGTGTGTGTGTGTGTGTGTGTGTATACATGTGAAAATATATATAATGAATAGCCTAAAAACAAAAGAATATTAATGGACAGCAGAGAATAATAATAATAATATATAATAATAATAAAATAATATTTCCATTAGGTTGAGTCAGATTGGTGTCAGGGGTCGGTCGGTCGTCGGTCGGGTCAGGTCGTCGTCAGGTCAGGTCGGGTCGGGTCGGGTCGGGTCGGGTCAGGTCAGGTCGGGTCAGTCGGGTCGGGTGATGAGTGAGTGATAATATAACAAAAGCTAGCCAATATAGTCGGTAAAGCGATGTGTAAAGTTTTAATCATATATTTCAATTTGGAAACACACAGCTGCTTCCATTGGCTCCCACTACCTACATAATCCAGTGGGGCCATACGTGAGCTTGGGCGTGCGTGGACGTGCGTGAGCGTGGATGTAAAATACGTGAGCGTGGACGTGCGTGTGAGTGTACGTGCGTGAGCTTGGACGTAAGTAAGCGTGGACGTGAATAAGCGTGTGCGTAAGTGAGCATGGACGTACAGTAAGTGAGCGTAGGCGTAAGTGAGCGCGGGCATAAGTGAACGTGGACGGGCGTAAGCTAAAGTGAAATATTTTAATTTAGAACCTAACCTAACCTAACCTAATACAGAAAGACTCAGCACATTCTCGACTAATATCACATTTCCACATAGTAAATGTACACACACAAAATTACATTAACACACACACACACACACACACACTAAACTTAACCACTTACATTAAAACTAAGGCAGATTTTCTCTTTATTTCCTTTCATTTTCTTCTTCTCTGGAAACAATAAAAGTTAAGAAACATAAGTAAGAGGTAAATAAACTCTAGGGATAAACTCTGCACACACGGAACAATTCCCTTAAGAGCTGGGAACATGATGGCACCAGGCAGTTACTACTTGGCTTTAACCTAAGACGGGGGTGGTGGGTTGATTCTGTGGAGTCTGGGTGTGGGGTTGGAGGGGTGGTGGGGTGGGAAGAAAGATTTGGGTGGCAAGGTAGGGTGAGTGTGGTGGTGGGGGTAAGGGGTGGAGAGATTTGGGTGGGGAGATGGGGAGATGGGTCGTAGTGGATGTTTGAAAAGGTGGGGAGAGGTGTGGTGATGTGAAGAGAGTGGATGGGGAGAGGAGGAAAAAGATAGAGAAGGGTGGAACTAGATGGTGGGGAGGTACTGGGGAGGTGTGGGGAAGACGTTGAGGTGAAGGTAGGATTGGGTGTAGGGGACGAGTGAAGGAGATAAGGGGAGAGTAAGAGAGAGAAGGGGAAGAGATGGGAAGGGCTTTAATTGTGCACGACAGGGAGGGGTGAAGAGGGAGAAGGAGAGGGGAGAATAAGGGAGAAGATAGGGAGTCATAATAACGAAAGGGAAGAAAGGGAACAGGGGAAAGATGGGTGAAGGGAATGGGAAGAAAAGATTGAAAGATAAGAAGAAAATGGGAAGAAGACGAAGGGAGAGGTGGAAAGGTGAGATGTTGTAAAAATAACGGAAGTGAAAAAGGAGGAAAACCAAAGAAAAAAACGAGGAAGAATAAGGGAGAGAGAGAGAACGGAGGGATGACAAGATATATATATAAAGTGTAGCTAAGCTTCAGGTGAAATAAGCTGGTCTAGTCTTCAGGTGAAAAAGGTGTTTACCAGGTGAAATAAGCTGTTATAGGCAATGGTGTCTAAGGTAGTGGGTGTCTACTTAAGGTGCAATAAGCTGCGGTGTTTCACCCAAGGTGCAATAAGCTGGGGTGTTAATCTCAGGTGAAATAAGCTGGGGTGTCTAACTTAAGGTGCAATAAGCTGGGGGTGTCTAATCTTCAGGTGAAATAAGCTGGGGTGTCTAATCTTCAAAATAAGCTGGGTGTCTAATCTTAAGGCAATAAGCTGGGGTTTAATCTTCAGGTGAACAAGCTGGGGTGTCTAATCTTCAGGTGAAATAAGCTGGGGTGTCTAATCTTAAGGTAAAAATAAGCTGTGTCTAATCTAAGGTGCAATAAGCTGCGGTGTTCAATCTAAGGTGCAACAAGTTGGGGTGTTTCAATCTTCAGGTGAAATGTTGGGGTGTTCAATTCAAGGCAACAAGCTGCGGTGTTCAAAGCAACAAGCTGGGTGTTTACCAGGTGAAATAAGCTGGGTGTCTACTTCAGGTGAAATAAGCGGTGTCTAATAGGTGCAATAAGCTGGGGTGTCTAATCTCCTGGCGATAGGAAATAAAGTTCACAATGATCGTTGGGATGAATGAGATCTCGATGTTCAGTAGGTGACTGGTATGGGTGACTGGTAATGGTGATCGCGGTGGGTGACTGGTATAGGTGACTGGTGGGGGTGACTGGGTAGGTGACTGGTAGTGCGAGGATTGGTATGGGGTGACTGTATAGGTGACTGGTTGGGTGACTGGTGAGAGGTGACTGGAAGGGTGACTGGTATGGGTGACTGGTATGGGTGACTGGTATAGGTGACTGGTATGAGTGATTGGTATGGACTGGCAGGTGACGGTATGGGTGACTGGTATGGGTGACTGGCAGGTGACTGGTGGGGGTGACTGGTAGGTGACTGGTATAGGTGACTGTATGGGTGACTGGCATGAGGACTGGTGGCGGTGACTGGGTATAGGTGACTGGGTAAGGTGATTGGTATGGGTGGACTGGTATAGGTGACTGGTATGGGTGACTGGTATGGGTGACTGGTATAGGTGACTGGTATGGGTGACTGGTATGGACATTGGTGTGGTGGTATGGGTGTTGGGTGACTGGTATGGTGATGATTAGTATGAGTTGACTGGTGGCAGTGACTGGTATGGAGTTGACTGGTATGGGTGACTGGTATGAATGTGACTGGTATGAATGTGACTGGTATGGGTGACTGGTATGGGTGACTGGTATGAGTTGACTGGTATGGGTGACTGGTATAGTGACTGGTATAGGTGACTGGTATAGGTGGTATGGGTGACTGATATGTTGGGTATGGGTGACTGGTATGGGTGACTGGTATGAGTGATTGGTATGGTGAGGCTGGTATATGGTATGGTGACTGGTATGGGTGACCGGTATGGGTGACTGGTATGGGTGACTGATGTGTGTGACTGGTATGGTGACTGGTATGGGTGACTGGTATGAGTGAGGTGGTATGGGTGACTGGGTATAGGTGACTGGTATGGGTGACTGGTATGGGTGACTGGTATAGGTGACTGGTATGGGTGACTGGTATAGGTGACCTGGTATAGGTGACTGGTATGGGTGACTGGTATGGGTGACTGGTATGGGTTACTGGTATGGTGACTGGTATGGGTGACTGGTGTGGTGGTATGGGTGACTGGTATAAGTGACTGGCAGGTGACTGGTATGGGTGACTGGTATGGTGACTGGTATGGGTGACTGGTATGTGACTGGTATGGGTGACTGTATGGGTGACTGGTATGGGTGACTGGTATGGGTGACTGGTATGTGTGACTGGTATGGTGACTGGTATGTGTGACTGGTATGGGTGGAGTATAGGTGACTGGTGTGGGTGACTGGTGTGATGTGACTAGTTTGTTGACTGGTATGGGTGACTGGTATGGGTTGACTGGTATGGGTGACTGTTTGGAGTTATTGGTCTGGTGACTGGTACGGGTGACTGGTATGGGTGACTGGTATGGGTGACTGATTTGAGTTATTGGTCTGGTGACTGGTAGGTGACTGGTATGATGACTGGTATGGTGACTGGTATGGGTGACTGGTATGGGTGACTGGTATAGGTGACTGGTATGGGTGACTGGTATAGGTGACTGGTATGGGTGACTGGTTGAGTTATTGGTCTGGTGACTGGTATGGGTGACTGGTATAGGTTGACTGGACATGGTGACTGGTATGGGTGACTCATGAAACATTTTGAGAGTTATTAATCGGAGAAATTCAATAAACACTCAACACATATTGAAGGTTGTCCATCCTCCTTTGCATTACGCTTCATGCATAGTTAAAGCAGAGGTGGAAAGAGGAGGAGAAGAAGGAAGGAGGAAGAAGCTAAGGAAGAGGAGGAGGAGGAGGAAGAAGGAAAGGAAGAGGAGGAGGAGGAGGAGGAGGGAGGAGGAGGAGGAAGAAGGAAAGGAAATGAGGAGGAGGACGAAAATGAAGAGGAGAAACAAACAAGCGACGCAACACATGATTGAAAGGTTCTTTGGAAATTAAGTGATACACAGGAAGAAAGGGGGCTGATAAGAGGAAGGGCTGATAAGAGGAAGGGGCTGGTAAGAGGAAGGGCTGGTGGGAAGGGGCTGATAGAGGAAGGGGTGATAAGAGGAAGGGGCTGATAAGAGGAAGGGCTGGTAGAGGAAGGGCTGGTAAGAGGAAGGGCTGATAAGAGGAAGGGGCTGATAAGAGGAAGGGGCTGATAAGAGGAAGGGCTGGTAAGAGGAGAGGGGTAGAGGAAGGGGCTGATAAGAGGAAGGGTGGTAAGAGGAAGGGCTGGTAAGAGGAAGGGGCTGGGAAAGGGGCTGATAAGAGGAAGGGCTGGTAAGAGGAAGGGGCTGCTAAGAGGAAGGGGGCTGATAAGAGGAAGGGGCTGATAAGAGGAAGGGGCTGGTAGAGGAAGGGGCTGATAAGAGGAAGGGGCTGGTAAGAGGAAGGGCTGATAAGAGGAAGGGGCTGGTAAGAGGAAGGGCTGGTAAGAGGAAGGGCTAAGAGGGAAGGGCTGATAAGAGGAAGGGGCTGGTAAGAGGAAGGGGCTGCTAAGAGGAAGGGGGCTGATAAGAGGAAGGGGCTGATAAGAGGAAGGGCTGGTAAGAGGAAGGCTGATAAGAGGAACGGCTGGTAAGAGGAAGGGCCTGTAAGAGGAAGGCTGATAAGAGGAACGGCTGGTAAGAGGAAGGCTGGTAAGAGGAAGGGCTGGTAAGAGAAGGCTGATAAGAGGAAGGGGCTGGTAAGAGAAGGGGCTGATAAGAGGAAGGGGCTGGTAAGAGGAAGGCTGGTGGGTGAGGAAGGGGCTGGTAAGAGGAAGGGCTGGTAAGAGGAAGGGGCTGATAAGAGGAAGGGGCTGATAAGAGGAAGGGGCTGATAAGAGGAAGGTGGCAAGAGGAAGGGGGAAGATGGATAAGAGGAAGGGCCGATAAGAGAAGGGCTGGTAAGAGGAAGGGCTGATAAGAGGAAGGGACGGTAAGAGGAAGGGCTGGTAAGAGGAAGGAAGTAAGAGGAAGGCTGGTAAGAGGAAGGGAAGAGGAAGGGCTGGTAAGAGGAAGGCTGATAAGAGGAAGGCTGATAAGAGGAAGGCTGAAGAGGAAGGGCTGATAAGAGGAAGGGCTGGTAAGAGGAAGGCTGGTAAGAGGAAGGGCTGGTAAGAGGAAGGGCTGGTAAGAGGAAGGGCTGATAAGAGGAAGGGCTGATAAGAGGAAGGCTGATAAGAGGAACGGCTGTAAGAGAAGGGATAAGAGGAAGGCTGGTAAGAGGAAGTGATAAGAGGAAGGGCTGGTAAGAGGAAGGGCTGATAAGAGGAAGGGGCTGAAAGAGGAATAAGAGGAAGGGCTGATAAGAGGAAGGGCTGGTAAGAGGAAGGGCTGGTAAGAAGGGGGCTTGTAAGAGGAATAACAGGAGGAAGGGGTGTTAAGATGAAGGGCTGGTAAGGAACTGATAAGAAGAGGGGCTGATAAGAGAAGGGGGGGCTGATAAGAGAAATGGACTAATTAGAGGAACAGGTTGGTTGGAGGAATAGGGTTGGTAAGAGGAAGGGGTAAGAGGAGGGGATAGATAAGAGGAAGGAGGCTGGTAAGAGGAAGAGGGAAATAACTGATAAAGCAAAATGTAACTGGAGACTTGAAAGAGAAGGATAAAGATGAAGGACAGGAAGAGGAGGAGGAAGAGGAGGAGGAGGAGGAGGAGGAGGAGGAGGAGGAGGAGGAGGAGGAGGAGGAGAAGGGCCACGAGACGAGAATGGTAAAGAGGAGCAATGGAAGGATACTTGAGGGGACGAGGAAGGGAGGAAGGAAGAGAATAAAGCAATAGAGGTCGATGATGAAGGAGGATGAAATGTTGACGAGTAGGAGAAGGAAGATGAGGAGGAAGAGGAGAGGTAGAGGAGGATAAGAGGAAGAAGAGAAGGAGAGTTAGACAAGGAGGAAAAGAGGTGACCGAGGAGAAGATGATGATGATGAAAAGCACGCTCCATTTTTTTATGTTGATGTAGAAAGTTCCACACACACACACACACACACACACACACACACACACACACACACACACACACACACACACACGCCACTAAACATATGCTCACTTACAGCACTACAACCCTTCACTCTCCCTCTTCCATCATCACTGTGGGAGCAGCTCACTAACTACGCTTAACATTTCCACGACCAAACATGCAAAGTTCGGCCATTCTTGAGGTTGCTGTTGTTGCTGCTGTTATAACCAGATCATATCTCTGGCCACAAAGTTTAACAGTAAGTTGGTATCTCTTCAAGCTCGGCTACTTGCGCCATGCCCTGGTTAACATTTTAGGCGTGCTTGGTGGGGGTCGACTGTCGGGGAAAAAAAACGACTTGGAAAACTTGTTGGTATGATATGACGGCGGGGAGGAGTTCATGTCTTGGTGTTCTAAAGAGCTTTGACTTCTCTCTGTCTGCCTGCAAGTGTTTATGTTTATGGCTGTTAAGTGTTTAGTAAGGAAGGGAGGGAAGGAAGGCCACACTTTATCAGCGTTATGTGTGCTACTTGTAAGAACTTTCATCTTTTTTTTTTCTTTTTATTGGTTGGTTAATTGTCCGGATTCTATGTTTATGGGTAATTACACCGCCATTGCTTTTAAGTGTTATTATATGTTGCTTACAATTGCTTACGTGTATTACCAGCAAGTGTTTGGGTGTATTATTTTGTGTTTAATATTTGGAGGGACAGGAGGTGGTGAGGGAGGGGGGGGGGAATCAGCTGTTTCTAGGTGTTACGTTCACTGCTTGCAAGTTACTACCGATTACCTTTTTCCTTCACCGTCCACTGCCTCTAGTAACTTTTAGTTGTTTGGTTAAACCCTCATCTCTTGGTGTAGAGTCACGGGGTTAAGGTGAAGGAAGTCTTACGCTAACGAAGGTCTGCGAACTGGGAAATTAATGACGGAAGCTTGACAATAACAACTTTGACGGCGAGGCCACAGGAAACACCTGCGGGGTTGAAGCAGGAGGGGAGAGGGAAAGGGAGGGGGAGGAAAGGGTTAAAGGGATGTGGGAAGAGGACGAGGGATAAGGAGGAAGATGAGGAGAAATGAAGGGAGGGAGGGAGGGGGAGGAGGAGGAAGATGCGGTAGTAGGAAGGAAGAGATTACTGAGGACGAGGAAAGGGATGGGAGGGGGGGGGATGAGGAGAAAATGAGGAAGGAAGGGATAGTGCTTGGAGGAAGAATGAATCAGTCAAAGGGGAAGAGGAAGGGAAGATGAAGTAGAGGAACGAATGAGTAAAGGGGAGGGAAGAAGAGGGCATGGTGAAAGGAGGGGAGATGATGAGGGGAAGAAATAATATTTTTGTTTTCTTTTGTAGAGAAAGGAAGTGAAAGATTAAATGTTCGGAGGAAAAGGAGTGAATTAAGGAGGGATATGAGGAGAAGGAACAAAAGGGAGGAAGAGAAGGAGGGAAGAGGAGAGGTAAGGTGAAATGAGGGCGGGAGGAGCAGGAGAGGTAAAATGTAAGAAAGGAGGAGTGGTAAAAGAGAGAGATAAGAGAGAGAGAGAGGAAGGGAAGGGGGGTAAGGGGACTCAACCCTGTCGCACCTGTCACAGATTCATCTTAGCTTAACCCTAACCTTTCACACAAGATGGTCCCACAACATAATGGTAGTATGGTGGGT